TCTCAGGCACTCACTGTGCTAGATTTAAGCAGGTTTATTTGGCACCGCAACATTTTGACCTGTACCCAGGTCTTTATCAAGTCTCCAGTGTCCCCTATATATCAGTGTCCCCTATGTATCACAGTGTCTCAGTGCCCCATGTCTCCCAGTGTCCTCTCATGTCTCAAAGTTACCCAGTGTCCCAATGTCTCCCAGTTTCCCAAGAGTCTCAGTGTCCCCAGGTCTCTCAGTGTCCCAATGTCTCTCAATGTCCCCTAGTGACATAGGGACACTGTGAGACTTGGGGACACAGACACTAAGGCACTGGGAGACATGGGGACACAGACATGCCCCCTTTTTGTGTGTGTTTGACCCTTTCGGCAGTTCTGGTTATGTGATTTGTGTCAGTGGCCCACCCTTTTGCCCCGTCCATAGACTTCCTGCTTTACTAGACACTGCTGTTAGGGGGTATGGGTTTACTTGAAAGATGAAAGCGTGGGTATGTGTTTTCTCATAGCTGCATCCTATGAGTTTCCCTCCAGCACCATCTCTATCAGATACATGACGCTTAGGAGGTAGGACTGTTTTAGTATTTTTGGTCAATAAAATTTTGTAACTAGGCCCATCATAATTGTCAGCACCAGGCCCACTGGGCTCTTAATCTGGCCCTGTTTCCTATGGACGCTTGCAGCACGCAAGCGCCTCTAGCAGCTGTCAAGCGACAGCCACTGGAGGCTGGATTAACCTATTTATAAACATAGCAGTTTCTCTGAAATTGCTATGTTTATAAAAAAAAAAAGGGTTAACCCTAGCTGGACCAGGAACCCAGACCACTTCATTAAGCTGAAGTGGTCTGGGTGCCTATAGTGGTCCTTTAAAAAAAATGATCAGACAGCAAAATAGGTGCTGCTGTGCAAGCACCAGTAATCTATACAGTGATCACTGGCAGGATAGGGGTTAATAGCTCTAACAAGATCCTTTGGGTCTCACAAAAAAAAATCACAGAAAAAAATGAACCCCTAAAAAAATGCACAGACAGCAAAAAAGTTTTTGATTTTACAAATCACTGGCTAAAACTACCTAAATCTCTCTACCTAAATACAGATCTCCCTCACTAAAACACAAGTGAAGAGAGGGAGATCCACACTGATCAGAGTCAATATTTACTAATATTGACCTTACCAGACAAATGGGGATCATAGTAATAACAAATTAAATATTATTATAGGGGCAAACTCTGATTGGATGACCATAGCCTGCCTCTATGATGACGTAGGCTAGGGACACCACCAGAAGCCCTATGATGCACTGCCTTTAGAAAGGCAGCACCATATTGGAGCCACATGGCTGGGGGGAAGGGGGAGAGTTAATAAATGTATCTTATTTGCCCTCGAGGCACTCAGCACACAGGCAGAGCATCGGAAGCCTGCTCTATGGCTTCCGATGCTTTGCTACACTGCCGGGCGCCACGTGGGGCAACCCTGACGTAATCGCTGGGGAACAATCACTCGGCGGCCCGGCAGTCAGGAGAGGTATTGCAGGATGCCTCGACATCCTAGTACGTCTGCGGTCCTTAAGGAGTCAAGCTGTAGGTATTGCAGTTAGCATGTTAATCTCCCATGGTACAATTAGTGTAGGACCCACCGATATTGGGGTGCTGTAACGTAGTGGTGAGCTTAACATGATATTATTAGTATGTTATTATTTATATAGCGCCAACAAATTCCACAGCGCTTTACAGTGGGTGGACGAACAAACATGTAGCTGTAACCAGACAAGTTGGATACACAGGAACAGAGAGGTTGACGGCCCTGGTCAATGAACTTACATGCTAGAGGGAGTAGGATAAAGTGACACAAAAGATAGGGATAGTATTAGACTAATGACAGTTGCAAGAGAGGAATCAGTTTCATTGATATGCTTTTATGAAGAAGTGGGTTTTTAATGATTTTTTTAAGAAGTGGAGACTGGGTGAGCATCTAACGGAGGAGGGAAGTGAGTTCCACAGGAACGGTGCAGCCCCCGAGAAGTCTTGAAGGTGAGCATCAGAGGTGGGAGTATGGACAGAAGATAGACATAAGTCTTCAGCAGAGCGTAAGGGCCTAGACGGGACATACTTGTGTATTAGGGAGGATAGATAGGTGGGAGCAGCATTATGTAGACATTTAAAAGCAAGAATCAGAATTTTAAATTGACAAAAGGGGACTGACAAAAGGGTGAGGCATGGGAGGTGCGGGCGAACAGGAAGATGAGCCTCGTCGCTTTCATTATGGACTGTAACGGCGCAAGCTGGGAGCAGGTAAGACCACTGAGAAACGGATTACAGTAGTCAAGGCGAGAAAGGACAGTGGAATGAACCAGCACCTTAGTCGCATCTGGCGTTAAGTAGGGTCGGATGCGCGCAATGTTTTTGAGATGGAAACGGCAGGATTTGGCGATAGACTGAACATGAGGCGTGAAAGAAAGGTTGGAGTCAAAGAGAGTACCTAGGCAGTGAGGCTGCGTTATGGAGCTGATGGTAGCACCGTTGACTTGGAGGGAGACAGACACAGGAGTAGCAACACTTGAGGGAGGAAAGACCAGAATTTCAGTTTTGGTCAAGTTGAGTTTAAGGAAGAGGGCAGCCATCCAGTTAGAAATAGCAGAGAGGTAGTTAGAGACACTAGTCAAGAGGGAGATATCAGGAAACGACAGATAGATTTGCATGTCATCCGCATAGAAATGATATTGGAAGCCAAAGGAGCTAATGAGTTTACCAAGGGAGGCAGTATAGATGGAAAACAGTGGGGGACCAAGGACTGAACCTTGGGGGACACCAACAGAGAGGAGTTGGGGAAAAGAAGCAGAGCCAGAGAAAGAAACACTGAAAGAGTGCTGGGAGAGGTAGGAGGAGCACCAGGAGAGAGCACTATGTTGTAGATCGATATTGCTTAGGATGAGAAGAAGCTGTTTATGATCAACAGTGTCAAAAGCCGCAGAAAGGTCAAGGAGAATTAGGATAGAGTAGAGACCACAAGATTTTGCAGCAAGTAGATCATTGGATACTTTGGTCAGTGTATTAAAATCTAGCCTGAGCCTTATGAGATTGATCATAAGATATGGCACCATATTTGGCACCCTAATATCTGTGCATTGCTGAATGCGTAATCAAGCTTTTACTCTATGAAAACCATCTTGGCTCACCCAAATGTGGTTTGCGCTGCTTTAATGGGACATCCGTCTAAAATAAAATGTTCAATCTGGCCTGAGCCAAATGATATTGTTTATAAAGTAGGGCACCACGCTTGCCACCATAACATCGATGTATTTCAAAGGGAAATTCTGAATGCGTGTCCAATCCTATCTGCTATGGAAATCTTGACTTCGCTAGATTTGGTTTGTTTTCTACTAACTGGACATTCCTCTTTGTGAAAAAGTTTAATCTAGCCTGAGCCAAATGATATTGATCATAAAATATGACAAAAACCTGGCACGCTAACCTGGCTCATTTCAATAGGAAATCCTCAACAAGTAACCAAACTTTTTCTCTAGGAAATCCATCTTGGCTTACCTAAATTTGCCCTGTTTTACATTAATTAAGAAGTCCCCCTATAGGGAAAAGTTCCATCTGACCTAACCCAAATGATATTGATCTCAAAATATGGCACCAAACCAGACAAACCATATTGACACACCTAAATTTGGTTTGTATTCTGCAAATTGGACATTCTTCTTTTTGAAAACGTTACATATGGCCTCATACCTTCCACCCTAACATCCATGGATTTTATTTGGAAACTCTGTATAAGTAACTAAGTTTTTCCTCTATGAATACCATCTTGTCGCACTCATATTTTCTATTATCTGGGCATCACACTGAAGGAAAAGTTTGATCTCGCGAGAGTCATATAATACTAATTACAAGATTTAGCACCAACTTGACACCCTAACATCCATACTTTTCAATTGGAAATTCTGATCAAGGAACCAAGCTTTTTCTCTATGGTTCACCCAGATATGTCTTGTTTTATTCTAATGTGGCATTCCTCTTTATAAAAAAAATTGGATTAAGTCATTCCTTATTTATCATAAAATATGGCACCAACCTGGCACCATAACTTCCATGTATTTCAGCGGAAAATTCTCAATAATTAACCAAGCTTTTTCACTATGAAAATCATTTTAACTCAACTAGATTTACCTTTTTTTTCAAGAAATTGGTCATCCCTCTAAAAGGAAAAAGTTTTCTCTCGCCTGAGCACCAGACTTGCCACCCTAACATCCATACATTTTAATGGGAAGTTACTAAGCTTTTCCACTATTAAAACAATGTTTTTGCATTTGTCTATAGCGAACAATTTAATGTAACCTATCCAAATGGTGTCAAGTACAGCTCATTAGCTAAAAGCTCATCGATTGTAGCCTATTAGGCAAGCCCTGCACTGCCTGGCTTAGCAAAGTGCTGCAGCTTCCACAGGCACAGGATGAGACAACTGATATGTGCAACATCCCAAATAAGTTTTCATACTGAAAAGAAGATTGAATACTTACCCAGGAAGGGCACCAGAGTTCTCTTAGCCCTATAACCACTACAGCAGGTACGGGTAGTGGATATTTACCATTAAAAATGCATGGATTTTAGGGGGGCGGGGCCTGACTGCAGAGCCGAGCGGTCGACATCCTCAAGGGCTCCTGCTATAGCCCGCATGAAAAGCCACTTTACACGACCCAAACGGCGACCAATCGGCCCAACAAAGCCAGCAATTGAAAGGGGACAAATATCTGAGCACAAAGATACCCATCAAGCGACGAACCGAGCAATATTTGCAGAACAAGTAACTGAGGCCTACTCGAAAGGCGGGAGCAGGAGAGACGGCCACTCTCCCCCCGCCACGAAAGAAGCCCCTAGTGAAGAAGGGCACCTGTCCCCCCCCTCTGGACTGGTCGGGGTCATCCCGGTCCACCAGCGCCCTAAGAGCACCCACCTCTGGGACACATCACGACACAACGCCGTTCAGGCGACCCCACAAGGCCCAGCTAATATGGCCGACTGTGCAGCCGCTAAACTGATGCAGCAGACTAATGAAGAATGGGCAGCAGCCTTCAATGCGAACTTCGATGCTGTTTGCCTGAGATTCTGGGAACGAATGCGGGAGAGAAGCTCGCAACCGGTACAGAAACCAGCCACAACGGCAGCACGCCGCCACACACCCCCTTGCAAGCATGCAAAGCATCCAAGCAAAGGGTTGCCACTGAATGAGCGGGTGCAGGGCACTGTGGCCCGGTGGTGGAAGCGACGGAGGGACATGGACCGCCCCAAGACAACACACAATAATGGAGCAAAGGCGCCAAAGACTCCTGTGGGAGGCTCGTGTGGACCACCCTCCACCCGACAGGGTCATCGCGGCCCACAACAAACAAAGCTCCACAACCGGAATGAAAGCCTGCAGACATCAACTGCCCACCGCATCGCCAACACCGTCCGGACAGATCTAAGAGGCAGAAAGACAAAGCCACCCGTCTCACACCCAGCCGACGACGGCTCCAGATTACAGCCCGGACCAGGTACACCACAGCTAAACAGCGCACGCATATACGAGACACAACACCGACGGCAGATATATAAGACGGTGAAAGGGAGCTCACACTCTTCTTGGCAGTCTGGACATTACTTATCGGGCATAGGCTGAACTAACAGCACACTGCTTCCTGTCAGCCACAAGGACTCAGGCCTCAGGCCATATATGCGCCCCAGCTCATTCTCAACCAGGGGTATTTTGTTTTTGTTCTTGTGTCCTTTTTCTTCTGTCTTTGCTTATGTTTTATTATTATATTCTTTGGGCAAAACGGAGCTACTTCTAACCAAGAAGCTTGCGACCGGGACCTAGTGGCACAATTACAGCATGTCTTTATTAACTGTTAGCTATATGCATTCCCTCATGCTTTACTTACTGTATTACTTTAAAATGATTAGCAACATGCCTATGTATACACAAAGCTCAGCCACTTCCCCTTAACAGTAGCTCCAGCCATTTACTAGTTAGCTTGTAATTTAAGCATACTATAAAATCTAAAAAATGTGCGATATATACAATTGCCATAACTCTGTTTTATATGACTTGTTATCACTCTGTGTATAGAGGCTGTTGTGGCTTACTGAACACTATGTTATTTCTTGCACTCTATAAATAAAGAATTAAAAAAAAAAAAATGCATGGATTTTAGAGTGCCAGGTTTGGTGCTGAGTCGAGCAACAGACAAGAAGCATAAGTAGGGGCTCCAATATCCACCACCAAAAAAACGCCTCTTTTGCCATCTTCAGAGGCTATTTGATGAGACTATATGTATTCCCCCCTCAAGTGAAATGATGGAGTGCAAACACAAGAATCTCACTGTCCAGAAAACTCCCATTTAACTAATACCGCACTTTGGTTTCATAGGCCGTCACACCGCAAGCCCCCTAAGATAGAGCCGAATAGCCTAGGTTTTCCCATTTGTTTCTCAATCCACAATAATTTGCTGTTTAGTTAATATATGGCTTGTTACATTACACAAGTATTTATTGAAAACTTCATACACTCTGCTCATTGATAGGCTTCTAATGATAAATGTGCTGCCTTCTAAAAGAAATTTAAAATGGGATACTGCCTAGGCATAAAGCACTTTAGCAAGCTTTTAAATGTTACTGGTTTTACTTAGCGTATCTTGTCTTCCATTAATCTCTGTGGGAGATGTTGAAACTTAAAGGACCACTATAGGCACCCAGACCACTTCAGCTTAATGAAGTGGTCTGGGTGCCTGGTCCAGCTAGGATTAACCCTTTCTTCTATAAACATAGCAGTTTCAGAAAAACTGCTATGTTTATAATAGGGTTAATCCAGCCTCTAGTGCAGGGGTGTCAAACATGCGGCCCCCCAGATGTTGCTGAACTACAACTCCCATGATTCTTTCAATGAAACAGATAGCCAGGGAATCATGGGAGTTGTAGTTCAGCAACATCTGGGGGGCCGCATGTTTGACACCCCTGCTTTAGTGGATTAACAGTGAGAAGACGCCAGTGTCCATAGGAAAGCATTGAGAATGCTTTCTTACGGACTGGCTGAATGCGCGCACTGCTCGTGCCGCGCATGCGCATTCAGCCAATGACGACAAGAAGGATGAAGAGAGAAGGAGGAGAGTCCCCCGCCCGGCGCTAGAAAAAGAGGTAAATTTAACCCCTTCCACCCCCTAGAGCCCGGCGGGAGGGGGGCCCTGAGGGTGGGGGGGACCTAGAGACCCTATAGAGTCATGAAAACGAGTATGTTTTCCTGGCACTATAGTGGTCCTTTAACCCTTTAAGGACACATGACATGTGTGACATGTCATGATTCCCTTTTATTCCAGAAGTTTGGTCCTTAAGGGGTTAAAGAATTACTCCAACCAATAAAAACTGTGTTCTTATCCTGGGCCCCTAAAAAAAAACAAAAAAACAACGAAGGCAAAAAAGTATTCCTATTTTAGCCCCAAGGTCAAGTTTTCCCATCAGCCCAATCCTCGTCTGCTAAAATAACTCCTTTTTGTTTGGAGATCAAAGGGTGTAGGGGGAGGACAGGCTGAGGGGATGACATGGGTGGCACAGAGGAGGGGCATGGGCCATTGGATGCTTGTCCCCAGCATACTGTGTGTGCTGACATCAGATGACCAGAACTGGCATTAGCAAGACTAGAACTCTTGTTCCATTCTGACTAATGACGTTTCAATGACACTGTCAGAGATAGTTACACCTCTGGCAGTAGAGAGGTTAAACTCTGTATGTGCAGCATTTCATAACAAAATGCTGCACGTACAGACTACAGGCACCATGATTATTTCAAATCACAGAAGTGGTGCTTGGAGTGTTCCTTTAATTGCATCTGCCAATTACCAATCACTCACACTGATATTTTATAGCACGGAAAAAACAGTGAGTTGCTAACTTTACGCAGCCCTTTTAAATATTACATCCTGTCGGAACTGATTGTGCTAAGCATAAAAACTTCAAAATCATATTCCAAATCAAAGAAAAGGTGTAATACTTGGCTTGTGTGTCCTAAAGTTGGCAATTTGTTTTTTTAATTCATTAAAATTTATTGTTTAGCAAATAATAGCCTTTCTTTCTTCAAAGAAACACAAATGCCAAAACCAAGGATTGCTTTCAGGTTTGTTTTCTAACATGGGTTGGTTAAAGCAACGCTATAATGTTAGGAATACAAACATTTATTCCTGACACTATAGTACATGTGTTTGGCTGTTTAGGTTCCGGTCCCCCTTAGATTGCTTGGAAAAGGTTATTTTACTCACCTTTTTTTTCCATGCCGCACTGGACCCATCTCTGTGGCTGAGATCATCAATTTTGATGATCTCAGCCAATCTAATGCTTTCCCCAAGGAAACCATTGGGTGGCTTTTGCGAATGCTTGGCAAAATGCCACACTGCAATAATCAGCATCTCCTCATAGAGATGCATTGAATCAATGAATCTCTTTGGGGAACGTTCAGTGCCTCCATGCAGACTGTGGAGATGCTGAACACTAGTGCTGCACATTGTGCAGCATTGACACAGGAATTGTTACTATAGGTGTTAGTACGCACCAATGGACCAATAGCATTTACATTGAAATTCCTGCAGGGACAGGCTATAGACGCCATGACCACTACATTAAGCTGTAGTTGTTCTGGCAACTATAGTGCACTTTTAATTGCAGTGCATGAATAGTAAGTTCAGTAAAGTTTTAGTTGAGTGCATTAATAAGTGAAGGACAACCTAATGTGCAATGTTCTCTTTGCAGTTGCTAGGTAAAACAACTGGTACAATATAATCTAGTTATTCGCCTACTAGGAAAACATCTGCTATTACAACTAGAGGTGAAATGTTCTAAAGACAAGATAGATTTACAAATTCTTACATTAACTCAACAGAACAAAAGTTCAAACTAGAAAAGCTACAATTTCTGGGGAAATTGTGTGAAGTGTTCTTGCCTCCACAAGTAGTCTTCAACTGGAGTGGGCGGAGTAACTGTTATCATTTACATAGCACATTTAATTGCAACGTTGTTGCACAGTTACATTAAACCATACATTTATAAAAAACATTAGCAGGTGTTCAAAAGGCCCTGTCTATGACATCACTTGCTGCTGCAGCCTGGCACAGGTCAGAGTATTTTGGCGGTTGCCATCTTCAAACGGTCGTATTTTAAAAACTATATACAGCGAAGAGCTTTATATTGTGAGAATCACAAGACCCAGACCTACATTTTGATGCATAGTATGTCTCTGAAGTATTAAAATTGAAGGCACAGTCGCAGTTTAGAAATTGCACTTCAAATTTGAGCTTTGCAGAGTGAAGTTTCAATGAAGTCAATGGACGGCGTTAGTTGCAAACAAATGATCATATTGTGAAAACTATCAGGACTATGGCTTAGCCGTTGACATGTTTAGTGGCAGCAGGGATAGCTGAACGTTTTGATATAAGATTTGTGTAGGTGGGCCTGAAAATAAGGGAGTGGTGGCAGTTTAGAAATCATGTCCTGATTTTTCAGCTTTTGGCAGCTCCCACTCTAGCTTTGCCATTCATTCCTATGGGACAAATTTCGCCACAAGAACGACGATATTCCGTGAACCATTCGGCGAAACGTTCCACAAAGTAATAGCAATCCGATCGGGAACAATCTGCACGTTTTGGTAAATTTTTGTCTATGTAGTGTAAAAACTGTGGGAGGAGTTAGGGTGGCAAATTTGGCTATAATAAGAATAATAATATATATGTGAGATAACAATAAGTGGTCTTGCTATGCAAGAACACTTAATAAATGTGAAGAATGAATGGTATGAAATAGAAATTTATACTTCATGGCCAAAGGATTATGGGCATCTTTCTTTATTACTGAATTCACCTATTTCAGTCATACATATTGTTCACAGATGCATAAATCAATCATACAACTTTGGCAGTAGAATATTCTATTTTTTACAGACAGGACTGGATGGGTTTGCCAGGATTCTGTGAGGAAGCTTCCCATCAATCAAAAGCCTCTTATTGCCGGTGGTGTTTTGTAGTTTTTCTTTTTTTGTTTGTTTTTTTAATCAAAGAAACCCTTGTGTCCCTATTGCAGGTTCACTCATCACAACACCCCACTCAAGCCACGGCGACTGTGGGCAGAAGTGCTGCGGTTTGTTCCCTGTTCCAGCTAGGAAGCGGTCCTTGGCGGAGGTACCCAGCCAGGGGTACAGGGAGTTCCGTTACAGTATCACACTGTCATTTTCTTTTTTTGTTACATGCACCATTTTTATTTGGTTTATACATGGGACCCATATACATATTTGCTAGTATAGATGACTCGGTATATGATAGACTTGGTTTATCCATGTTTAGAGTATTCATCCATACTTCCTGTTTGTTGAATCATAGCTCTAGAACCAATTTACTACTTTTTGGCTGTATTGTACTCAAGTTTCATTTTGAAGGATGTTTTGTTGAATATTTCTCTTGTGACTATCATGAACAGGGTGCTGTTATAGTTTGGCCGCCCATTGTGTCTGTATAATTGAGGATATAATTCAGCCATTTCTAGAGTGCACAGGCTACTTGTAACAAAGGCTCTATATGATCAGTGAGGGGGGGCAGACTTTGTAGTAGACTGGATGGGATGTGGCTGGGGATAATAAGAATGGGA